AAGATGACGACGACAACGGCACTGATGACGGATGGGAATGGTAAAGCCTGTTTCTCATTCAGAACAATGAACAGCGGTTGTAGGGGTGTTGGCACTTGATTGGATATATTACATTTATGACGTTCCTGTTGAGCTTGTGTTTACTATAGTTTGATTCATTCTTTTCTTTATTCTTCTTCTGTTTTGTACGTATTCTTTCAGGATTTGTTTATATCCAAAGGTGAATTATAAAAATATTTTACGCTCTATTAGAAGTGAGGAAGACCGGAAGAAGAGAGATAAACAAATGGAAAACATCAAAAACAAAAATTACTATTTTATGCGGGATGGGCGCGGATCACAGAATGCGTTCTTGTCAAAAGGTAAACAAAAAGTCACTCATTATTTAGGCTCTGAAAATGTCAGTTGGCTCTCTTGTAAACTATGCAATAACATTTAACCACAATAAACAACATATAATACATATTTACTTAATAATCTTAATAACAGGAATCCCAATTGAACAGAGTTTGTGAATGAATCTTTATGATGGATTGCGCATGCAGTGTTGCCAGATTGATTTGATACCACATGAAGAATATACCTACATATAGAATAAATGTACATTTTTCTTTCGAAACAATATAGGAATTCAAAAATACATAACCAACAAGTGGTCGAGAGTTATAATCGCGGTACACCAAAAATGTATAGAAAGCTAAAGTTGACTACACTTTTTTCTGAATGTGCCCGACTTCTGTCCATTTGGTGTTTGTATTTATTGTTAAAAGAAATAAAAACAAAAAACTTTCAAAATCAATGACTACAAGAAACGTACATCGCGGGATACGCACAAGGAATATTAGCTACTTTTTCCATAAAATTTAAATCGTGAACAATTTGGATCATCTTTTTAAAAGAAAATAAATGCTTCTCATTTATCTTTCGCCTTTTCAAGTCATTTCAAAAATGAGAAAATATAAGGGGCTAGGGCTGTATTTCTGTAGCTCTAGGAAGCTGATCTACTAACATATTGTACCACGATCATAACAAAACTACTGTTTTTCGAGATACTTTTTTTCTATAATGCCGCAAAAAATGTGTACTAGGCTTTAGCTGAAACCTGACCTTTCTAAAATGATACTATCACTATCTTTCCAGCATCCAAATATTATGCGTTTTGGGATGCCTAAGGATATTTGCACACAAAACCAGCTAACATTCCCCTCCATCTGGCAACACTAGAGACGCAAGAAGTTGTTTGAAAACAAAAGAAATAAAGCACACGACAAGGAGCATTGTAAAAACTCCATTCACAATAGACAAGAGAGCCAATCGACATTTTTCATTTCACAACACTTATATATTCTATTTCACTCTTTAATTTGTTTTTATTTATTTTTTCTCCTTTCACATCTTTTGCCGTACATATCGTCGTGCAATTATCTTTCACAATTCTCAATAAATACGATGATACATTCACCAATCCCATAGTAAGTTGGTCGCAAAGTAACTTGTCAAAATGAAAACACAGAAGCAACATGCAGAGAAATTCTGCAGAAAATAATGTTATTCACAGCTATGGAATCAAGACAGGGAGCGGAAGAAAATTCCCCTTCGCTATGTATTTTTAATTGTAGCACAAATTCATGTCATTTTTCGTTGAAACTTTTCACAAATATAGACGATATTTTTCAAAATCACTAGACAGACAGCACACTCATATCTGGAAAACATAATTCACTTTCGTCTCGTACACGCACATAATGCTGCTGGTTCATACACAGCAGAGAGAGGACAAGTTCCATTATTGTATCGTGTTTTTTCTTTTACGGTATTTTTCGTAGTTAAACTTTTTCTATTTTCCTTTTTCTGTGTGTGTGCCATTTACTAAGTACTTCCACTTCCAGCTTCTACTTTACACACAATTTCATTACTTTTGAACTCACACTTAATTGAAAACAATAATTTTTTATTTCACAAAAACACGACGAATGCAGAAAACAACTAAATGTCCATTAATTGAAATAAATAAACACAATATTCATTTCCCGTTCGTTTTTCGACAAAAATTTGCCATTTCGAGAGCAGAAGACAAAACGACGACGACGACACCAACAACAAATTGACAAATAGTTGGAATTCGGTGCCGTGCGGTACGAGTTTTACGGCGTCGCCGCCCATTTTTCAAATACCAATTAAAAAGACACAATTTATACTATACTATACACAGTTTACACCAAAGGCACCGTTTGTGTATTGTTTTTAATAATGTAATGCAATGGAAATACGCTATTGGTCTGTTCCAAAACGATTATGATAAATACAAAAACTACTGGATTGTTGCAGGTCCGAGGAGACCATATGTTTGGAAAATCCGGGGTTTTCAAAGGTGTATTTGATAAGTGCAATTGACAATCATATGGTATTTAACTTTTTTCATTTTTGTTTGTGAATAAAGTTGTCATACGAAGTTTTATCCTTTTTTTAAATTTCAAATTTTGTTTTTGTAATAAATTAATCAATTATGAAATTTATCTATTTATTAAAATAGATTTTAGCTGTTATCATCTGTTATCAAGACCATTTCGCCTTCGCAAATTCCTAATTAAATTCGGCCGAAATACAAATTGAAGCTCGGTTTGTGTATTATATCACCCTATATCCCTATATCACCCAAGTACAGCAGAAAATGGGTCCTTTAACACAAAATTGAGAAGGAGTTGTATACCTAGGATATGCATCTTATTTTGTCAGATATTACGCATTTGTTGCGCAGTGAAATTTGGACTAGAAAGAAATATTTCACCTATTTCAATAGGATTAATCTTAAAACAAAGGGACAACCATGGTAGAAGAATATAGGTAGATGGATCAACGCTTGGGAACATTGATATTTCAAAATTTTTAAAATGTTTTATGAAAAATAAGTGAATTTTTAAATGTTTTTTATATGACGCAAATCAGAGGTTGTTATAATATGAATTTTTCAACAATTTTTACAAATTTTTATAATTTTTCATTCAAAAGTTTCAATTCCAAAATCGGTTTGACAGTTCATTGTCCCAGCAGCTGTGTCGATGCGACTACCTGCATTCTTCTACCATGGGGACAACTATTCCAATTCTTAAAATAGTTTGTTGTTTACATGTTGAAATAAATGAATAAAAAGTTGAAGAAGGGTAAAAAATTCTGCATCAGACGGAGTGTTGGTGGCGAAGGTACAAAAAGCTAATAAAACAAACGGATACATCACATCATGGTAGAACCAAGAAGGTAAAGTCATGTAATCATATTTTTGCAATTTTTTCAAAATTATACATTGGACAATATCTCATTGTCAAAATCTATATTCATAAATCCATTGTATACACACAAAATCAGAGATGGGAACTGTTTTTTATGCATTGAAATTTGACAATGTAAATTACGGAAAATGCAGAGCTGGGAATAGAGAGCTGGGCCTCAATTCTTGTTCTATGAAAATGTGAAATAAAAACTTTTATAAAGGAAAGAAATGTCAAATGAATAATTTTATAAAGGAAATATTTTTCATTTCATATTTCATAGAACAAGAATCCAGTCCCTGGCTTCTTCGTAGAGGAACAAAGGAGTTTTAGGTTAACTTAGTTCGATGTTGGCCCTAGGCTTTTTTGTTCATTTCCGAAGAAGCCAGCCGATGACTTAAGCCAGATAAATAAGCGTTTTATGTATTCCAACCTTAATGCTATGTCAGCTTACTGTGAGAATTATACAGTGTAATATGGAACTGGTTGTTTTCATTTATTTGAAATCTTCCTTGTTTTTAAAATGAGTTAGTTATCGCGAAAAATGAAAGTAATGACTGGATTTTATGTCAAAAATCTAATATAAACTGTTCAATATTTCAACCCATATACCCGTTTTATAAAATTATAAAATATTTATATAAAATTACACTGCAGGGCAATGTGGACATATTTTTTGCCTAATAATAGAAAAAATCGCCGTTGTACTTAACAAAACGCCAAAGGCGGCGGTTGGGAAACTCTTTTTGCGGTTAAGGAACAGCGATATAACATTAGGTACCATAGTCGTATATTTCATGTTTCCTAAAATTGCAAAATGTTGAATACTTTATGTATGTTTGCTGTTTGGTTTCAACTTGAAAGGGATGTTGCCTTTTCTAGCGAACGTTGGAAGTGTTGAGAGATTAGGACCGACAGCTAACTACTATACATTCAATGGAATGATGTGAAAGCATTAAAATTAAATATTTTAAGAACTATTCTTCTGCATTTTCAATTTAATAATCCAAATTTCAAAAATGTATATTTTTGAAATTAAAATAATTCATTGAAAATTAATTACTTTGTTTACATTTTTGGACACATAACCCTGATACTTGTATTACGTACAAAAACAAATCTGTATGTGGTTGTTGTTACCATTGTTGTACAATAACACTTGCTGTTACCTGTATTATTCTACCATGGGCACAACCATGGTAGAAGAATGCAGGTAGATGCATCAACGTAAATATTTAAAATATTTTGTCAAAATTAAGTAGTTTTTTATACGTTTTATTATTTTAGTTTTTATTATCGTTTTTTTATATGTTTATTATACGACGCAAATCGGAGATTGTTATGATGTACACTTTTCAACACTCTCTACAAATTTCAATAATTTTTCATTTAACATTTGCAATTCCAAAATCGGTTTGACAGTTCATTATCCCAGCAGCTGTGTCGATGCGACTGCCTGTATTCTTCTACCATGGACACAACTGCCGAACAACATTTTTTAAATTTCTTTTCAAATATAAGTAGATTTTTATATGTTTTCTTATACGACGTCATTCGGAGGATATTATAATACTCGTTTTTCAACAATTTTTACAAATTTAAATAATTTTTCATTCAACATTTTCTTTTTTTTTTTTTTGATTCTCTTTCTCCTTCTTCGTCATGGTTGGCAAGTACCCGAAGTACACATATGCCAAATTACTAGGTTATTGTTTACTTAATAGTCGTATTCTTTGTTATGTTTATGTTTCTGCTATCTCACAGAGAACATCAGAGATGAAGATTGCATTTGTGAATGAAGTTTGTTAGTTCGACGAAATTTTCTGGCGAGAAGGTTTTTAAAGTTGATGGTAAGTCCTTGTACCTTTCGAAGATTTTAAATTGTTTCCTTTCGTTACAGAATTTTGGGCAAACAAAAATTTGGTGATCCTCACTTTCAGTGATTCCACAAAGTGTGCAGATGTCTGAGGCCTCGACTTTAATGCGATGTAAGTATGTTTTGCCGTAAGTGTGTCCAGTGAGTAAACGATTTATTAGCTTTATATTACCAGGTGACATCTTTGAGCCAGTGAACCAATAAGATTTTGGTGGTGTGTTGAAGAATTGTGAAAAGTAAGTACCCTTAGTTTCGGATGCATCCTTGTACTTATCTACCCATTCTTTCCATAGATGATCATAAATTGCAGAGTATGCGTCTGTAATTGAAGCATTGGTGGTAATTATACAGCCAGCTGTGGCTGCGTGTTTGGCGAAATAATCTGCGAGTTCGTTTGCTGGTATACCAATATGCGAGGGAGTCCATATGAAAATAAGAGATTGTAAGTTAGAATTGTTTATTTTGTGAATTATGTCGTTTGCTAGATAATTATGATGTGTGTTTGTCTTGAGTGTAAGACAGGCATTTTTACTGTCCGTAAGAATGACTGCTTTGACCGTGTTTTCCTCGATCATTATATCAATTGCTTTATTTATGGCATGTAGTTCTCCCATTAGAGAAGAGGTTTTTGATGTTATTCTGAAAGCATAATTTTGTTTCATTGATATGTTGCAGACCGCACAACCTGTACTACTGTCTGTGACTGATGCATCAGTTGACCATATGGAATGACCCTGGTTTATTAGACAGACTAGTTTTTCTTGAAGAATTGCTCTAAAAAATTCACTGGACTTGGAGTGCTTTACTGCTTTAAAGAGATCATCTACAAAAGCTTATTTTCTTTGAAGGTATCCTTTTTTGATTTACCATAGTTCGGTCAAGGATGTGTTTAAATTTGTTGTAGATAAAACCCAAACTTGTTTTTACAGAGGAATCTGTGGTGATGCAGTTGTACAGCGTATTGTTATACATTTTGAATTTTATTAGTTCTTTAGCTGCAAGATACTGAGAACGTTGTTCAGGAGGAAGCATAACAGCCAGTGCATAGATGTTGTGTATTGGTGTGGAAGGGATAAGTCCAAGGCTTCTTCTAAGCATTTGATTTTGAAAGCTAGTTAGCTTTTTGTTGAGATATTTTGGCATGTGGGCCATAGATGATATTGCGTATTCTGTCTTAGAGAACACTAGGGATTTTGTTAAATTTATTGACATGTTTGGGAGTAATCCGTTTTTGGCGTTGTTTATCATTTTTAATGCGTTTAGTGAGTTGGTACAGGAATTCATTACTTCATCATAGTGTTCCTTTAGCGATAGACTGTTTTTAATATATCTTCCCAGAAATTTTATTTTTTCAACAGAGTTTATGTTTGTATTTTGTAACTTTATATTTAGGATTTTACGAGGGCCTTTTGCTACACACATGACGAAGGTTTTATCAGGGTTGTATTTAAGATTCAAGCGGAATAAAATATGGTAAAAATGATTCGCTTTATGTTGTAGATTTTCATTTGCCATTTCAAATTCCTTGTGAGTGGATAGTAAAATAAAATCATCCGCAAATTGAAATAAATATGTGTTTTGATCTGCAATCCCATGTAGACCAAGCGTATATATATTAAAAAGTATTGGACTTAAGTAGCTGCCTTGAGGTAATCCATTATATATATCTATCATTTCATTGCCCATAACAATTGTGCGTTTTTTAAGAAAGTTTATTGTCCAATATCCTCCGGGCAGTTTATCTCGGACAAAATTTTATAAAGAATTAATAGATTTACGCAATCATAGGCCTTTTCAATATCTATAGACAGTAGAATTACTTTTTCTCATTTTTCCTTATGATAATTTATTGTGTATTGTAAATGATTGATACACATGGATGAAGATAAGTTTTTCCTGTATGCGTATGTGTTGGTCGGAAGAATATCTTGTTCCTGAAGAAATGACTGTAATCTCTCTTTGATCATAAGGTTTATAATTTTGAGAAAAACTGATATTAATGATATTGGTCGAAAATTTGTGAATATTTCCAGATCTTTTCCTTTCTTTGGTATTGGAACAATTTTAATTTTTCGCCAATTTTCTCTTAATTCACATTTTTTCCAAGCTGTATTCATTGCTTGAAAAAGATTATATTTAGATGATTCTGATAAGTTATTTATCATCTCATATGTTATGCCATATAATCCTGCTGCTGAAGGTTTTTTCTTGCTGTTTAAGACAGATGAGAATTCTTCCATTGTGAGTTCGACGGGTGTTCTTTGCGTGTTTGGAGGGAAGGTAATATGGCTGTTGTTCAAGACTTGATCCCTTAGGTGTATTAAAGATATTTTGTTGTTATTTTCGGACCATTTCCCACCGTTATTGCATGACAAACTGTTCTTACATCCTTTTACCAGACGAAATAATGATTTTGAGTTAGGCTCCATATTTAAAGTTGTAATTTTCGATTTAAAAGATTGTCGTTTTGCATATTTTGTGGCGTTTTTAAAATTTTTAATGGCTTGGAAAAGATTAAGAGCATTAGTGTCATTGCTATACAAATCATATTTCTTTTGCGCGGTTATGCTTTTTACGGAATGTGGGAAATAGACAGCCACTAAAGTGAGATTATTGTTTAAATTAGTAGTTTGACAAATTAGTATGTCAAGTGTTGATTGAAAAGAGATTCTTTTAAACTGAATATTTTTCTTTAAAATTATCGCGACGCCACCATAATTATCTTTTCTCTTTTTTGAAACTATATTATAATTTTGAAAAGTTGTTGAATTTTGTTTTTCATCTATATTGAAAATTTCACTCAGGAAGCATATATCGATGTTAAGTTTTCTTAAATGGAAGTCCAGAGAGTTTTTGTTTTTTTTAAGACTTTGTATATTGTATTGTAAGATGTTCATGGATAATTAAAAAAAAAATTATTATTATTTATTTGCAGTTATTTCAGGATGTTACTAATTGGCTTTCTTCATTGGCTTCTGATGTATATGGGCTTTGGTTGTTTGCTGATGCTGGAATGACTATTTGTTGAAATTTCTTTAAAACATCAAGACCTTATGTGCAGTTAAGAGACGTAAGTATTGTGGACATTTGTCTTGAAAATGATGCTAATGCTCTTTCTATTTCTGATCAAATACTGCTTTGGTTGGATTTACATGGATTGGGCTTGCAATGGCATGTTCATTTTTCGTTATTGGAGCCGCAACTTTGCTATATTTAATACTTGTAATTTTTTTGTTAATTGCATCATGTATATTAATTTTTGGAGTCCTGTTTGTTAAGAGAGGCGGAAACTCATTATTAAAATCACGTTCAAAAAGAATTTGGAAACGATTTCTTGTCTCTGGGTAATTTTGGAGAATCTCATTCTAGATAGATTTGTTAGGGCCATAATGCTGCTAATATTTCTTTCAGACTTCCACTTCAAACAATTTTTGGAATCTGTTGCAAGATGATCTATTTTGTTGCAAAGTATGCATCTTGGAGACATGCATAGTTCTTTACAGGTTGTTGTAGAACGACAATCTAAACATCTATTTTCCTTACTGCCATTTGTAGCACATAGAATATCTTTTCCACAGTTTAGACACTTCTTCGTCGACCTGCAACGAAGAGCAATGTGGCCTAAACACCTGCAGTTTAAACACAGCCGAACAGGTGGTACATACAAGTCCGGTGTTATTTTTGTTCCACACATATATATTTTCGTAGGAATTCCATCAAAAATAATACCATCGTTTATCGTTTTCAATGTTTTTGGCTCTTCTTTTATTGGTATCCCCAATAGGTGGCGGGGGAACAGGTGGAGGAGGGGGGTCTTCGACTCCCTCCATAATTGTTTAAATAAAAAACTTGGCAAAAATTTCGCAAAAATTGTTTTTAACCAATATAAAAGAAAAAAATGGAGGTTTGTTTGTGTTTTGATTTTGTGTTGATTTGTTGTTGTTGTGTTTGTTTGTGAAAAAAAGTGACCAGCGCGAAAAAGTCTAGTGTCAACAAAGGTTGATAAGCGACTGATTCAACATTTTCAATTCCAAATTTGGTTTGACAGTTCACTGTCCTAGCAGCTGTGTCGATGCGTCTACCTATATTCTTCTACCATGATTATTCTTAATAAGATCATTCAGCTGTTTAAAAAGCGTTAGTAATAATTTACTTTTTAATCTTTTTTTCCCATATATGTTATTTAATACTGCTTGTTTTGTTGTGTTTTTTTTTTCTAAGCATAACGGGATATTTTGTTGCGTTTCTGGAGTGACTATTAGAAAAGTTGACTTTTTGTTTATTTTTAAAAATCGAAGTGTCTTTACACTATATAATTATTAAAAGTGAAATAAAATAAAAATTAAAAAGTGTAAATCAATTTATATTTTTAAATTAATTTAAATGTATTCATACCCAGTCATCATTTTTTGAAATTTTACATCACATTCGAGGCTTTTTTGATCCTGTCGTGCGATTAAATTGTGCTCTTTTTACTCATTAGGTAACATACAGGATACAGGTAGATGCATCAACGCTTGGGAGCATTGATATGTCAAAAAATTTTAAATGTTTTTTCAAATATAAATAGATTTTTATATGTTTTCTTATACTTCGTCATTCGGAGGCTATTATAATTCGCGTTTTTCAACAAGTTTTACAAATTTAAATAATTTTTCATTCAACATTTTCAATTCCAAAATTGGTTTGACAGTTCATTGTCCCAGCAGCTGTGTCGACGCGTCTACCTACATATATTCTTCTACCATGTTAGGTAATTAGTAATTTTCGAGTCGCTTTTCGTATAAGTGAGTTAATCATTTTTTGATTTCCAAAAGGACTCGAAGAAGACTCAGCAAAGGAATTTTTTCATAAACAATCATCCAAATTTTTGCTGGGTATCCACACAAAATTTCCTGAGCAAACACTCATATTTGTACATTTCACAAATCAAATCCCTAACAAATGCATTTATCGAAAAATTTATTATTGTTCTGTTCCAGTATCTGCAAGAATCTACTAGTTTTGCAACATTCTTCGATATCATAAAAGGAAAATCGGTTATCATAGTAAAAACTTTTACATTCTTGCAGTTCTGGAACAAACCCTATGATATTTTAAAGTGCAAAACTGAAATATTTAATAGAATTTTAAATATATCAGAAACAATGAAAATCACGAATAAAAAGTATAATGTTGAACGGAATATGTACATTCAGACGAAAGAAAATTTTGTTTTCTTTTTAATCCATGGTAGAATTAAGAAGGTAAAGTCATGCAAACATGTGTTGAACATTTTTTAAAAATTATTGAAAATTATTTGACGATATTTTATTGTCAAAATTTGTATTTACAAATCCATTGTATACACCGAAATCAGAGATGGGAAAATGTTTTTAATTCAGTGAAATTTGACAAGTTAAATGACCAAAAATGCGGAGTCTTATTTGAAATGACTTTATCTTCTTAATCCATGGTACGCATCTAGCCCATGGGGTTGAATATCTCAATATGCTAGAAACAAAACATCATATTTTGAAATGTCTAAAGTTGAAAATTGCAAAAATTTTTATACATATTGAAAATGTCAATATTTTCTGAAAAAGTAATAATAAAGTATATTATTTTAAAGAAAAAATAAAACGCTTTTGAATGATGAATATTTTATTCTATTCATTTTTATTAATGTTTCGTGTCATTTGGTTCAAAAAATATTTATATAAATATATGCTTCATATGGTAAGTTCACATGGCACGTGATTCGCTCTCTATTCCTTGTTCGACCATTAATTAAGAAAAATCTGCTTAATTCCGCACACAAAATTTGCGTGAACAAAGATTTTTGTTCTTTGTTCCATTCAAATCACTCTCAGAACTAAGATGAAATGTGTGCCATCCCTAACAAATGAGAGCATTTATCGAAAAAATAAATTATGACATTTAAAAAATAATTAAAAATAGAAAAATTTAATGAAATTTTAAAAAAAATTTGGGAAGGCTGAAAATTATGAATGAAAATTACAATGTTGAATGGTGTATGTAAATTCAAACGAAAGTAAATGTTTTTTTCTCTCACATCCGAGGTACGCATTTTGTCCACGAGTTGTAATTTCCACAGAAACTGGAAACAAATCGTGCCGTACGAACTGGTTAATTGTTGACTCTAATTCTGATTGCAACGTGATTGATATTGCAATGAGAACATAGCATAAGGAACTATAATGATGATAGTACTGTATACAGTTCCGATAGTTCCTTTCATGAAAAAACTTTTTTGAACTGGTTCGTTCCGGAACGACACAACTCCTGAAAACAAGAAATAATTATGTTATGTTTTGGTAGAATTCCTATTCATTCATACCGGGAAGTAGTGTAATATTGAGGCGAAAGGTGTTTGGTCTAAAGGACAAGACGAATTTGTTTAATTAAAAGATGTTACGATTGCTCTTGCACAACAGTCGCGATAACAGGTGAGCAATGTTTAAAGGAATGGACAAGGTCTTGGGGAGACAAACAAAATCGTTGTAATGTTTGTTATGTCACTGGTATTTTATTAAACAACTCTTTTACATATCGTTTCCAGTCGTCAATTTCTGCAACAGATACCGAAATTTCATATCAATTCGTCGCTAACGAAACAAGGTTTTAAAGATGCGTCACATTGCAATTGGAAAAACTTTCATAACATTGTGCGATCAGAGCTGAGGAAGACGACACAGCATCAACAGGGCAGTAAAAATGCAACGAAATTAAGAGCGCTACTATTCGGCAGTGGAGGCGTTTCATTGGGGTTAGTGGCACGCAGTTGGATTCAGGGACGTTATAAAGTCCAATGCGAAGGCAATCGATTAGCTGGGGTTTTGCAAAAAACCTTGCAACAAGAAGATGGCAAGTTTGATTGGAAACGATTTTGGTCTTATCTGGAACCGCATTTGTGGGAATTCTTAGGCGCGATTGCGGTAAATAAAAACAATATTTCGATACAATTATAAAATTAAAGTTCTTATCTCATTCTATATTTCTCCCACCCTACCACTGTGTTTGTACGCACAATCTTCGGTGGGACTGATTAAAAACTTATCAATAAATTTTATAATTTGTTTTTAGGCAGCGCTTGTTGTTGCGTTCATCAATATTCGTATACCCAATTTGTTAGGCGACTTGATCAACATATTAGCCCGATATGCTAATACATACGTCAAGGATCCTCTGAACAACTCCTTCTTCAAAGACGTTGGTAAGCCAGCTTCGAACCTATTGAGTCTATATGTAATGCAATCTGGCTTCACGTTCCTATATATCTACCTCCTGAGTCGCATTGGCGAGCAGATGGCAGCTAAACTGCGACAGGACCTCTTCCGCCAGATAATGATACAAGACATCGAATTTTTTGACAAAAATCGAACGGGCGAGCTAGTAAATCGCCTTACTGCTGACGTTCACGATTTTAAGGCGTCTTTCAAACAATTTGTGTCACAAGGTCTTCGAAGTGTCGCCCAATTGATTGGTGGTGCAATTTCATTATTCCTCATTTCGCCGCACATGGCTGCCATCGCATTGGCTGCAGTGCCGGGAGTTGTGACATTTATGACATACTTGGGCAAGAAATTGCGAAGTTTGAGTAAAAACGCCCAAGCCCAATCTGAACGAGCGACTTCGGTATGCGAGGAAGCATTATCTAACGTCCGTACGGTCCGTTCGAGTGCCTGTGAATACCAAGAAATGGCACTCTTCGAACATGAAACAAACGAGGCTGCACGTCTGTGTCAGGAATTGGGATACGGTATTGCAATATTTCAGGGTCTAACCAACTTCTTCCTCAATGGCTTAGTTTTATCAACTCTATTCTTGGGTGGTCATTTGATGTCAACCGAAAGCTTGACCCCAGGCTCTCTAATGGCCTTCTTAGTAGCGGCACAAGGTGTACAGCGTTCGCTAGCTCAGGAATCAGTTCTGTTGGGTACAATGATACGAGGAATGACTGCTGGGTCCCGAGTATTTGAATATCTACAAATCGAACCTAAAGTAGAACTTTTAAGAGGCTATGAAATTCCATCCGATCGCTTGAGAGGAGAAATACGTTTTGAAAACGTATCTTTTGCATATCCCACAAGACCGGACCATGTACGTAAAAATGTATAAAGGAAAAACTGATCATGTCAACTATTAATTACTTATGTTATCTTCGTAGGTTGTACTAAAAGATTTTAGTTTAATTTTAAGACCAGGTGAAACTGTGGCCTTAGTAGGTGCTAGTGGCTCTGGAAAATCAACAATAGCTGCATTAGTTGAGCGTTTTTATGAACCGACATCGGGTACCATTAAAATCGATGGCTACAAATTGGACGACATTTCGCCACATTGGCTGAGAGGTAATGTTTTGGGTTTTATTGAACAACAACCTATACTGTTCGCCACCACTATATTGGAAAATATACGTTACGGAAGGCCAGGAGCAAAAGAAGACGATGTAGTCGAAGCTGCTAAATTGTCTCAGTCCCATGACTTTGTAACTGCACTGCCTGATGGTTACGAGACAAATGTTGGCGAGAGAGGTGCGCAGTTAAGTGGTGGTCAACGACAGCGTATAGCCATTGCTCGAGCTCTTTTGAAAAATCCCCGAGTTCTTATACTGGATGAAGCAACCAGTGCATTGGATGCAACCAGTGAGGCTGAAGTACAAAAGGCCCTGGATACTGCAGTATTAAATAGAACCACATTAGTAATAGCTCATCGCCTGTCTACAATACGTAATGCTGACTTAATAGTTGTTCTAGACAAAGGACGTATAGTAGAGGTAAGAATTATAATATTCTGTAGTTGATACCTGATTTCTCTGATGCAACCATGTTCAATTTTACAGACTGGAAAGCATAACGAACTTATGGCCAAACGCGGTCTTTATTATGATCTTGTTCGACAACAAGAAAAACATGGTGCAGCAGAAGATGCCACTGCTTTTAATATACCTAACACTGCCGAATTCGAATCAGCCGATAGAAATACAAGTAGTAATACGAACACCAACACCAGCCAACAACGTTCCAATATGGCGCAAGGTTAATGACAATAACATATAGGGAAAAAGTGCATGTTTCATCACATTGTTTTGGACTTTCTTTTTTACATTAATGACGAATTCTTTATTTAATTTTATTGTTGTTCTAATCCAATGGATTTACGTAAAACCTAACGTTATTTTGCTTTCAAACTTCATTTATAATTGGCCAAGTCCAAAGATACGGGTGTTAATTTAAAGATATTGTTCAATTTGGATATGTATATGGGAAATATAAATTAAATAGTGAATAAATATGGTTAAACAAATTAATTTTTAAATAATTAAAGTGCTCATGTAATAATTTAATAGATACATTGCCAGGCGCACCAATTTATATTACTGGCAGTTCGAAAGGAATTGATTGTCAGAACCTTTATTCAAAAATTGTTTATTGACAACATTGAAAATGAACTCTATTCATCGGATTGGAAGGGCTTCATTATCAAATTCAAAGTTATTTTTATTTTCACCAACCCAAAATATATTCTGCGTGACTACTAATGTAAACACTCCACTACTTTTAACACTCCACCATACTTTGTCATTCCGTTTGCAACTCCCCGAAATATTCATGTTAGACCCTACAAAGTATATATATCATTGATCAGCGTAAACTTCTAAAATTCTTCGTCGATGTCCATCTGTTGTAATCATGCTATCATTCATCATTTTGCCACTCTCCGTTTTCTTTAAGTAATGTGAGGTACTCAGAGAGTTATCGTGCAAACCAGATTGACGGATATCACTAGATGTATTAAATGATTTATACCCATACAGCTCAGGGTATAAATAATCTATGACAAGAGACTAACATTATACAATTTTACAAAATTGTTTCATAGAATACCAATCTGTTTTTCACCCTTTGACAATTTCGGCATGTCCACTCTCTTTATTTTATACCTCACGTTTCTCATCAGAAATTTCATTTCTTCTTTTCCTTCATCGATCAGTCTCCCATCGCCTGTGGCGGTTTTCAAAATAGTAACGAAACCTGCTAAAATGGTGCAATTTTATTGTCAAAAATTTGATACAATCATGGTACCATAGTACAATAAAATTAAGAAAGGGAATACCATATGATTTTATTTTTTAATTTTCTTGGCATAACATTTTAATTTTATTTAGGTATACGTGTGTATTATTTCAATTAATGGACATTGTTTAGAAAATACTAAAATTCAGTTGATTTCAAAATGCTTATTTCATCGTATGCAAGGACAATTTTTTAAATTTTTGTTGCGAAAGATATGAACAGAACAGCTTCGTAAAAGTACAGAAATACAGCCCTGACGCTATGCCCGCTTCCTGTCAGACTCATTCAAAATAATATGTAACAAGTTGTTTTCAATTTGTTCACTCTTTCAATTTCATGGTTAAACTGGTTAATAGCTTGTATGCATGAGCCGCGATCTACGTTTCTTTCCATCATTGGTTTTGAAAATATTTTGTTTTCATTATTTAAAACAATAAATACATACACAAAATTGGCAGAAGTCGGCCACACTTAGAATAAAATTGTAATCAGCTGGTAGCTCTACCTTACCTTTTTATTGTACCATGTGTATAACATGATTTTAAAAGAAAGTAAGACTTTTCATTAATTTTTCGCGTTTTTTCAATTTTTTATTCAAAATCAATGTAACAAATTGCATTTGTTTTGATAGTAATTCTGACATTACAATCTTTACAGGTACACCTCATTACGTGCAACTTTTTCCATGTTAGCCTGCCTACCATATGATTTTAATTTTTTTATTTTCTTGGCTTAATATGTCACCTTGATTTGTTTATGTATGTGTTTTGTTTGCAATAACAAAAAATTGTTCAGAAAACATTCAAATTCGGGTGTTTTCAAAATGTTTATTTCAACGTATGCATCGACAAAATCTAGAGTTTTTGTAGCGAAATAATCTTTTGGAGATATATAGTACATGATTTTGAAAAGAAGTGTTGGCCTTTCATTCAGTTATCGCGTTTTTCAATTATTTATTCAAAATAAATGCAACAAGTTGTTTGATTTTTTATTGCTTTGATACTAATTCTGACATTACAAGCCAAACAGGTAGACCTCTATACTTGCAATTTTTTCCAAGTTGGCCTACCTTCTCTTCATTGTACCATGCATGGGAGATACCATTATATGAGAGTTATATGAGGTGTTGAAAACTAATTGACAGCATAAGTTTCAGGTAAGGTGGTCAAGAAATTTAGAAATTTAGGTTAAGATGAAGCACTTAACCACCTAGTAATAAAACAACGCTATCACAAAAACTAAAAGAGTACTACTAGTTTCACTCTATACTCGAATTTGAGTTAGCATATGAGAACACTCGTTACAACGAATTTCCTAAAACCTTTTTCATAAACGTAACTATCTGAGTTCTTGATAGTAAATGCCTTATCAAACATCTATCATCTATGTACACGTATTTAGGTTATGTGGTTTTTTTATGTATAAATATGCTTTTTGAGTTTATATGCACACATAAATGCATACATACATATATTAGTTAAAGTGGATTTAAATGCAAAAATGGTTATCAATGCGAGGATAACAACATCATCAACATCATTGTCATCGTCAGCGGGTGCAACAACATGACAACAAAATTAATATCTTCAACCATAGCTCCAAACACAGGATATGTTGTCACAAACATGCACACAATTGTACATTTATCCTGTTTACCGCATGTCCGTGTTCGTTTGCGTATGGGTATGTGTATGTGTGGGGTGTACTGAAACATCATATTGCGGTAGGCCATTACATGAAATTTCCTCATAAACTTGAATTCTATCCAGTGGCTGCAGGGTAACCAAACTACCGTACAGTGATGGCAATATTTTTAGGTACACTAAATTATTCTCAATATGTTTACAAAGGCCGTTGTGAGCAGTGTGAAGTAATGTCGAGCAAAATTTGTTAATGTGTCTCTTCCTTCGACCAAGAAGGATTTTCAGAACTAGAGCGGGAAGTTCACCAAATAACTACTATAAAATTCTCCGAGGAATTAGTAATGCCTTGACATTAATACAGTACTCAATAGAAGACAGTAGTGAATACTGTCCAATTCTATATATTTTGAGGATTGTCACCATATTTTTGATATCTTTTTACCTGGTACGAAACGTACTTAATTTCGCGGAATTTAGTTTTGTAGTTGTTCTTTTGTGGATAAGTTATGTCCTCCATTATATTAAATTTGTCATTCTTTTTCTAACTCCTGGAAATAATCAAGTTAGATCCTATAAATTATATAGTCACGCTATCCTTCTAACGAAATTTTTGCACATTTATATATTTTGTCAGTTGTTTTGAATTTAGTTGTTTTAAATTCTCCTGTGGAAGAGCAGTGTATATATAGATCAGCGTTTTCTTATAGTTCCTATAAAACGGTATCTGTCGATATTCGGTATTTTATAGATTTACTAGCTGAACCCGGTGCGCTTCGCTACCCCTATTGATTTTATATGCATTCAAAATTTTATTTACGAATATTACATATATTATATTTTACACCAAATTCCGCCACACCTTTCATATTTCATTGAAATTGGTGCGTCAAATATGTGAAATCGGCCGAGAATATATATATGGGAGCTATATCCAAATCTTAACTAATTTCCAATTAATTTGTCACATTTATTATTGTAACCAAATTCCGCCACACATTCTGAATTTCATTGGTATCGGTCATATAAATCATGTTTGGTGCATAACATGTATGAAATCGGCCGAAATATATATGTTAGCTATACCCAAACCTCAACTGATTTCAATATAACTTGGCAATTTTTTCTGGTTCCAGATTTTGTCTCTCTCGCTTTGGGTGCATCAAATATGTGAAATCGGCTGAGTATATATATGGGAGCTATAATCAAATCTGAGCGTATTTGAATATAATTTGTCAAATTTATTTTTGTACCAAATTTAGCCACTCATGCAGAATTTCATTGGAATCGGAAATACGTATCGTGTTTTGTGCATCAAATATGTGAAATCGGCGGAAAATATATATGGGAGCTATAATCAAATCTGAACCGATTTTAATATAATTTGATTAATTTATTTTCTAATCAAAATCCCGTTACATACTCCAAATTTCTTTGGAATCGAACATACATATCGTATATTGTGCATAAAATACATGAAATCGGTCGAAAATATATATGAGAGCTATATCCAAATCTGAACCGATTTTAATATAATTTGACAAATGTATATTTGTTTTAATTTCCGCTACACATTCCAAATTTCATTGAAATTAGAGATACATGGCGTGTTTGGTGCATCAAATACATGAAATCGGTCGAAAATATATATGGGAGCTATATCCAAATTTGAACCGATTTCAATTTAATTTGACAAATTCATTTTGGCTCCCAATTCCGTTACTTATTTTAAATATCATTACAATTGGAAATACACATCGTGTTTGGTCCACCAAATACATGAAATCGGCCGAAAATGTATATGGGAGCTATATCCAAATCTGAACCGATTTCAATATAATTTGGGAAATCAATTTTTTAGATAAAATCTATCACACGTTTCAAATTTCATTGATATTGGGGATACATAGCGTGTTTGGTGCATCAAATGCTTGAAATCGGCCGAAAATATATATGGGAGCTATATCCAAATCTGAATCGATTTCAATATAATTTGACAAATTTATTTTCGGATCAAATCTCGTCACACATTCCAAATTTCATTGGAATCGAACACTCATATTGTGTTTGAGGCATCAAATGAACGAAATCGGTCGAAAATATATATGGGAGCTATATCCAAATCTGAATCGATTACAATATAATTTGGCAAACTTATTTTTGTTCCAAATTCCGTTACGTTTTCCAAATTTGGAGACTGTATCTTCAACCAATCATTAGATATGTGCATATAAAATCTAAATTTTTGGGAGGTACCTCCGATTCTGATGCTATATCTCCAGTTCTAAGTGGAAATTCAAAAATGTATATAGCCTATGTTACTTTCAGGCGATGTTGCAGTATATATGGAAATTTTCAGGAATATCTATTCAGCGGTTTTCGAGTCCATAAATTACAAACAAACATACAAACATTTTCCTCTTTTATAGATATAGAAACCACGTTAAGGTTAGGTCCTATAATGGTACTTCCCGGTATTCGCCCTTCTGATCATATTAGTCACACTTTTATTGAAATCTTCAATTTTCAAACAAATTTGTTTCAAATTTGGTAATATATAACAACAAAGCCTCAACATTTTGAATAATCATATAAAATGTGAAGAGAGAG